AAGAATTAGTATATAATACCAACTTTTATAAAAGAGACAAAAATTGCAAAAAGGAGAAAAGATTAAGCATTCACTACTTTTGTTATACATAATTGAAACTTTTAATTTATAGAGTTGATATGGCTTGGTGTTAATTATGAATTAATAATCTTAGATTACATTTTTTAGTGCACTTAATTATCATGTGTTTTGTGTTAAGAATGTCGACATCTTAATCACGTTGTTTTCTCAGTTAAAAGTTAGGTCACGTACGTGAATTTTTACTGTTGATCTACATATATGCATCAATGTAGGTCTATGTGTGTTTGTTTGCTTATAAATGAAAATTAAAGATCTACCGCAACGTATTTCACAAGGTGTAGCATACTAAAACAGTTAAAACATATGTTTATGTTGTTAAACAATTTGCATAACAAAGATAAATAGTAAGTAAACCGAAAGAGAGAAACTTTCTATCGAACATAGATGATAATAGAATAATACAATCGAGGAAAAGAGCTACCAAATAATAGTATTGGACTACCTAAACCTAATAGAATTATATTACCATAAGTATAACAATAATAATATAATTCTCAACATATATGTTATTGTATTTGGTATTATTTAACAAAAATAATCATTTTTCACATATATATACCATGCAACTTCTCTTCTTCTTTTTTTTTTCTAAATTAAAGTTGAAAAAAAACCATTTTCAAAGATCGATTATGTCGCAAGAAATATTAATAAAATTTGTCGCTTTATTGATAAAGAAAAAATAATACGCTAGAAGAACGTCAAGTGCCACAATTTATATAACAAATTTACATTTATATATAAAATCAACTAGATTACTAGAACGACAAATATTTTTGTATATACTATAATTTAATGAAGAATTAACAAAAGTTTAAGTCATGGTTTTGTAGATGCTAAATCTGGTGATTTTCACCATGATCTACACATAATAACACGTACTCGTATGTGTATGTGTGCTTAGTGGAATATAGTTATATTTCTATACGTCCATGATGCAAAATTATTTGATCTTTTTCATCAGGTGTAGCATCTCGTTGTTCCACAAGATAGCTAAAGACAATTATCGTTACGGTTTGGTATAATTCCAAATTAACATTATTAGGTTAGGTTAATTAATAATGAACAAATAGTTAGTGGAGCTCAATTTAAAACCTCGAGTTTTGGAACATAAAATTTGTGACCAATTACGATTTACTTTTAAATTAATGACCCGTGATTAAGAGATAACAAAATTATTATGTGGTGACCAATTAATGCTAATGAAAGGATATACAAGAACAAGAGTGATTGAAAGCAACATTTAACCGTACTACTAAAGATTAAATTATTGAGATAATTAGCAAAATTCCATCAAAAAATTTAGGTCTATTCCTATTTTTTATTTTTATTTTTAAAGTTAATTGCTTTTAATATTGATAATATACATTGCCTTTGCTTTAATTCAAAAGTAGTTTACTTTAGAGCTAATAGCAATGACCCCCCTGTGTTATTTCTAATTGGCGAATACCCCCCTGTATTATAAATATTAGCACAAAGCCCCCTATATTGTGTTTGGCATTGCACACCGCCACCTATTCATCATTTGGCTGTTGACTAAAGTAAAAAGACTATATTACCCCTAATGTAAAAAAATTAAAAAAAACCCCCAAAACTCAAAACACCTGCTACGTGTTCTCAAAACCAAAAATATCCACTTCTCCCAAATTCAATCCCAAATCGAAGAGAAAAAAAACCCTAAACTCCAAACTCAATTTCGATCGAAATACTCTCCCAAATGCCTTCTATTTAAAGATTCTCGAAGAAAGACGTGAAGACGACTGTGAAATTTCGATTAAAGAGGTATGAAGTTTTTGGGGAGTTGTGGGTTGTGGTCCAGACATTTGTATTAAAATAGTAGGGTTTAAGTTTATGAGGTTTTCGTTTTTTTGGGGGAGTTGTAGGTTGGAGTCCAAACTTTATGTATTTTTTTCGAGAATGTGGGTTGTTGTCGAGACATTGTCTGGATCTTTTGGGGATTGTGGATTAGTGGTCCATTTTTTGATATTATTGTTTTATGTAGGGTATATGTTGTCTATATCTTCAAGAGACATGTGGGGTCTTATTTTTTGGGGGTTTCAATTTTTTAATTTTTTTATTCAAATTTTTGT